AAGAAAAAAATTATTTTTAAAATTTTCAGCTACTTTTATAAACTATTGCAGCCTAATTTAGCATGTCCAGGGTCCTACTACTAATCAAGACGCAGAGGGTACGCCGTTAAATATTAAATTTGTTTAAACATTTTTTATTATTTAATTTTGTAGAACACACTTTCCTGAACACGTACATACCAAATATTATGGAAGAAAAAATTATTTTAAGCTATACAGCGACTTTTATCCACTCTTACTTTAGCATGCCCAATTCCTACTACTACCCGCATGACAGGGGTTACTTTTGTCGTTTTCCGAAAGTCAAGTGGTTTTTAGTCAGGTACACTTTTCTTCCTCAATTATAATCCAATTTCAATAAAAATTGGTGTGTGTGTTCCTCATATGATAAGGAACAATAATACGAATCAGTTTCCATGACAACCAAAAACCTTTGAAATAAAAAAATATGTTAAAAAATTACAAAATATTTTATAAAATTTTTTAAATCATACTAACAATTTAATTTTGCTCAAAAACTTTTTTTGCTTCATATTATTTTTGGTAATAATGTATTAAACTTAGTACAAAAATTTCAAGTTGATAGGTTAATATTTGTAAAAGTTATGTGTACCTAAAAACTGTCATTTTAACATGGGCGGGATAGGGAGTACTGTGTCACCTTAAGGTATCTGCAATCCAAATATGTTATGGGAAGGGAGGGAAACAGGTCCACGACGTAGGAAGTGATGAAGGAAATAGTAAATGCGAGCAGTCTGGAGTGTGGGAACTGTTTATGGCGATTAGCATAAGGTATCTGCAATCCTAAAATGCTATGGGAAGAGAGGGAAACAGGTCCGCGACGTAGGAAGTGGTGAAGGATGTAGTAAATGCGAGCAGTCCGGAGTGTGGGAACTATTTATGACGATTAGATTAAGGTATCTGCATTGCTAAAATGCAATGGGAGGGAGAGAAATAGGTCCGCGACGTAGGAAGTGGTGAATGAAGTAGTAAATGCAAGCAGTCTGGAGGGTGGGAACTGTTTAAGACGATTACATTAAGGTATCTGAAATCCTAAAATGCTATGGGAAGAGAGGGAAACAGGTCCGCGACGTAGGAAGTGGTGAAGAAAATAGTAAAGGCAAGAAGTCTGGAGTGTGGGAACTGTTTTTGAGGATTAGATTAAGGTATCTGCAATCCAAAAATGTTATGGGAAGGGAGGGAAACAGGTCCGCGACGTAGGAAGTGATGAAGGAAATAGTAAAGGCGGGCAGTCTGGAGTGTGGGGAATGTTTATGACGATTAGAAGGTATCTGCAATCCTTAAATGCTATGGGAAGGGAAGGAAACAGGTCCGCGACGTAGGAAGTGATGAAGGAAGTAGTAAAGGCGAGCAGTCCGGAGTGTGGGAACTGTTTATGACGATTAGATTAAGGTATCTGCAATCCTAAAATGCTATGGGAAGAGAGGGAAACAGGTTCCCGACCTAGGAAGGGGTGAAGGAAGTAGAAAAGGCGAGCAGTGTGGAGTGTGGGAACTGGAAACAGTTTGTAGCAGTTAGAATAATGTATCTGCAATACTGAAATACTATGAGAAAGGATGGAAACATGTCCACAACACAGGAAATGGTGAAAGAATTAGTTAAGGCTAGCAGTGCGGAGTGTGGGGAATGGATTCAAGTATCTGCAATACTAAGACTGCTTTCAGGGTAAACTCATGATTTTCCCCAGGTACTTTTTATTATTGTTTGTAATATTATAACTTGCTCGTGTTCTGCAAAAACTAAAAAACTATTCTATGTAATAAAAGAAGATTATTGGTTATTTTCCTAGTTTTTCATTGGAATTGTTGATCCAATTGTACATTCTTTATCCGAGGTGCCATCCCCCCCCCCCCCCGCCCTAAGGTCAGGAGCACAAATCTCCCCCAAATAATACTGCCCCTTTACACATCCTACCTAAATTAGCTACCTGCCCCTTTCCATACTAAAACAAAAATTTCAAGATTTTCTAAAATAAAAATAAAATACTGCTCAATAGATAGTTGGTAAAAATTGATTATTGGTACAATATAACATTCACAAATTTGGATTTTCCCAAAAAATTTGGATAATTTTGAATTGATAAAATGGCTATGCTGTAATAGAGAATTAAGGATGCTACACACCATAAAGCTTTCTATAGGCTATTCATTAACTTAGGCCTACAAAATTCCTTTGGCTACTAAGTTAGCCCACATTGAACTGAAAGTCATTTTTATTTCTTAATAAAGATAATTCCTAATTTGTGTTTTGTTTCTGTCTAATAAGGTAAGTCTTTGTCTTAATCTTATAATTATGAATTATTTTAAGAATAAATAGATTTGGTAAGTTACAATATAAAATTTATTAATGAAATACAAATATAAGATATAAGTTATTGGTTGAATTTAGTTACAGGGTAAGTTAACAATGGTAAATTTTCAAAATGGTGGGGGTTCCAAAGTGGATCAAAAGATTCTAGGCTTATATTGGGCTGGTTTCTTCTAAAGTACACTAATTAATATTTAAATAGGCTATGAGCTCTTAATCCAGGGAGGGGTGGTCGTGCCGGTTCGAATGATATATTAGGCTTCTTTAAAATGCAAATAATTTAATTTAGTTATTGTTCTGAAATAAGTTAAGCTAGGTCCATGATGCTATTGATATAGGCCTAATAATGTTAAATGTCCAAAGAAAGATTCCAAATGGTTTCACTGAATTTAATGAAATAAAATAGAATTTGAAGATTAAATTTTGAATAAAAGTTCAATTTGATATATGTATATATCTTGATGAGTTGAGTTAATTGGGCCTAGTAGGCTATACTGATTAAATGTCCAATGAAGATTAAATTTGTCCTTAGTTAAATAAGATGGATGATGGTTACCAAATTTGGAGTGTCTGTCTTCTTATAAATTGGTAGGCTACTCTTCGATGCACTTGTCCAATACTTTTGGATGATGAGAAATTTAAATTTAGGTTTTACTTTGGGATTATGAATTTTAGTTTAAATTAAACACAATTTCCAATAGAATGATGTTCACACTGTGAAGAGTTGGCAGGATCTGGGCAGAGGCAATGGTAGAAGCTCAGGAAGTCCATGTCCATTGTTGAAGTGATGTACAGCTGGTTAATTTACATGAATGACACTTGCCACAGTAATTTTGATTTTCTTTGGATAATTTTGAAAATTGATACTATATTTAAGATTTTATTACTATATTGCAAATTTCTTACAATTATATCTTATTCTAAATAAATGATTATTGTTGGTTTTTGATGAGTACTTAATAGGTATGGAGAGAATTTGCATAAATATTTTATTGTAACATGAAATAGGATGATGTTTCTGTGGGGTGATGGGATATTATATAACATTGAACAAAATTTGATAAAATAACACATTAACAAGGAGAAACATATTAAATAACTGATAATACATTATCAGGGGCATTAACAGACATTATGAGAGAAAATATACAAAATAATAGAGAAATTAATGTTAATGATGAATGAATGACATGTAATATTACAAATTATCCCCACAGAAATCTGTATGCTATGAAATGAAATACAGATTTCGACAAAATATGAAATGGAATCATGAATCATTAATATGAATGATACTTACAGATAGGTATGAATAACATTAAATGATTGATTTTCTGGATGATAGAACATTGGGTGATAATACAATAAAATTATAATATAAATTAACAAATGTGTAGGACAATAACATTAAAAGGGGGAAAATAGAATAGAGTGTTCATGGCCTGGCATGGGAAGAAAGGGATATTATGGATGTTGTTCCATACTGTTCAATATCAAATAACTTTATTGTTTCTTTGTTATTAAGGAGATCACAGTTTATTAGTAAGTGAGTATTATTTATAAACTTTATCACCTGGGTATCAGTTTATGGAAAACACAATTTAAGGGGTCACGCACTCGCGATTAAGGTCCATGGCACAATTTGATTGGAGATGATGATGCACAAAAGTCTATTGATGGATGAAACACATTATGAAATTTATTGATATACAATGTCTTCGAAGGTAGGGTCATCATTATCTATCTCGTCGATCACAGCTTCTATTGCTCGGGTTGGTTCCAAATATTTCTTGAGGGCTGATACATGGTAGGGGCCGTATAAAACATCTTCATCTTCTTTCGCTGATATTTATTTAATAAAATGCTTAATTTTCCACGTTCTTCTGCGGTTATGTACGTATTTGTTGCTAGGGAATTCTCTATTTCTTCTTGGGTTAATGTTTTGTCTTCGATTGGATCTGTTTTTCTATTTTTGAAGTTATTTATTGTGCTGTTAAATTTATTATATATTGGATCATCGTGATATACATCAAACGTTTCATCATTAAAATATTCATTATTTGGCCTATGGCTATCATTAATTATTAAGTGACATATTTGTCCCTCTTGGTTGCACATACAAAACTTCAAAGTAACATTGTGATTATTTATCTGCATATCTATTTCATTTGTGTTGAAATTCAGATCCATTTTAAGATTAGACAAAACATCTACTCCTAGTATTATAGGTTTTATTAGATTTGGTACAATAAGATATTCCAGTGGCAAGGTGTGTTCTGCAATTGTAGTGGGAACGTAAATGATTCGAGAGACTCTTTTAGATCGCTCATTTGTAGCAGTTTTGATTACTGTGTTATTAACTGGAAATTCTTCAAATGGTGAAATTTTGGATTTGTTTTCACTGAACCAGGATTCTGATATACAAGTTATTGATGAACCAGTGTCGACTAATGCGTTTACTCTAATATTATTAAGTTTGATGCTAATTTCTGGGCAACTTATTTGAGTGAAATTTGGAGATTGATTATTTTCTGAATCATTTTCTAATAAGAAGTTCTTATCGCACATTATACTTTGGGATTGAAGATGATTTATTTCATTACCGAGAATTTCATAAATAGGCGCTGTAATTTTAGAGTTAACTAATGATAATTGACCCTCTCGGTTGTCGCTTACAGCGCCGAACCGTTTTCCTGTATATTTGGTGCAGGATGAGTTTGTGGCTCGTAACTGTGTGATGATTGGTTGTTTGGAGGAGCACTTGGCACGTAGTTATTTTGTCTTATTACTGCGCAGAGCTGAGCTTGTTCTTGGGTTGGGTGGTTTCTGTAGGTCCGTTGGTTGTTGTCACCGTTACGTGGAGGATATCTGTCTCGTTGATATGGTTTGTTTTCATGGTTTCGGTCGTAAGTAGGATGATTGTAGTTAGGACGGTAATTTTGATGATTTGGATAATTTCTGTGTTGGTGATTGTTGTTGTATGAATTGTTGTGATATGAAGTTATCTTGGGTTGGTACGCTCTCTGATTCTCGTAGCGGCCGTTTTGATGATAGGTGTGTGGTTGTTGATTTGGAGTTGTCGGTCGGTTATTGGATGAGCTGTTGTGATTCTGGTTGTTGGTGCGTGTCTTCTTTGGTCCGTCTTTGAGGTCTTCACGTTGTAGAAGTCTTTCTAATGCACGTACGGTGGTGATGTTTTGTACATTGATGCAGTCTTGTATGATGGAGTCAAATCTCTCTGCCATCAGTGTCACAATTTCTTCTTCGGTTAGGCAAGGGCTCATAGATTGGAGTGAAATTACACGTTCTGTAAGGTATTCACTGCGGCTGAGGGTACCATTTGACCGGTATTTTTCTGATTCGATTTTGGCTCTTAAGCTGCGTTGTACTTCTCTTGACCAGTATTTAGCTTCGAATTCGTTGGAAAATTGTTCCCAGGAACTTAAGTCAGTCTTTACAAGTTGTAGCCATCTTGAGGCGGGACCTTCGAATGAAGTTTCTAGCAGGTCTTTGAGATATTCAATCGGGTCATAATTACTGTTTCGCTCAAGTCCTCTGTCGTAATATCTTTTCAATTTATTACGATATTCTTTTGGGTTGCCACTTCGGCCGTTGAATTTTGGTATTTGTCGGTCTTTCTCTTCATTTCCATTGCATATAATTTTGATTGGGCCTTGGAAGTTTTCAAATGTTTTGCTCTGTTTGAGGGTTTCCACTTCTTGTTCACATTTTATTAGATTGTGATTTAAATTTTGTATTTCAGCTTGCTGAGATTCTAAAGTTTTGTTTTGGATGGTGAGTTTTGGGAGAATTTCGTTTTGTATGATGGCCAAATTAGCTTTGGAATTTTGTTCGGATTCTTGCCTGGTTCGATGAGAAAGTTCTTCAATTTTTTGGTCAAAATTCTGTTCATGCATTACCAATTGTGTTTTGACAGCAGATAGGATGTCATTTTGTCTCTGTTGATTTTTATTATCAGATATTGATTGTTGTTGTGTAAGATTATCAATGACGAATTGTCGCATTTGATCTTGTGATTCATCAATTTTTTGTGTGAGTTTTTCATTAAGTTTAATAATTTCTTCAGCTTGTGTTGTCTGAGTGATCTTAATTGAGTTAATTTCGACCTGGAATTTACTTTGACTTTCACGATTTTCTAAAATATGAGTTTCTAGTGCATTTCGGCAAGCTTGAATTTCTAGGCTATTAGCATCAATTTTATCATTGAAGCTTTGAGTGAGTTCAACTTTTAATTTATTAAGTTTGCTGTTGATTTTATTATTAATTTCTGCTTTAATTTCCGTATTTGATTCGTCAATTTTGTTGCTCAATTTAGTATCTAGTTTAGTCATGAGAGCAATTAAAGTATTAATATCTGATGGTGCAATTGGTGCTGACGTGACAGTAGTATTTGTTGTCGCTGTTTCACCGACAGTGACGCTAGGATTGTCAAGTCGTTGCCGTGTTGGTAGGTCTAGGTGACGTTCGTCGTCGTCGGCTATATTCGGTAACGATCGGCTGTGTTCGGGTGCGGGTGTCTGAGTTATTGATCCGCTAATGTGACCTTGGCTATCACCTGGCATTTTGGAAACATTCAGACTTTGTTTACTAGACAGTTCAGTGGCAACATTTGCAAACAGACTTGTAGGAATGGGAATACTATTGTCTGATTGGTCCATGGACTCGTTGTTTTCTTCCTCTGTGTGTTCTGATGTCTGTTGTGGATGTGTTTTTTGTTCTGTGTCCGTGCATGTGATGTCATCAAGATGGCGACGTTCTTCTTCAATCTCGCTCTCGCTGTCAGTTTGAGTGTTGTATTCGTAATTCGGATTTAGGTTAGAATTTTTCCGGTTGGGTCTTAAATTATATCCTTTCTCGGCCATGATTAATTATTGTACTAATTATGCAAATTGTGCGTGATTAATTAATGTTTTGTATAACGGCTTTGTGTTGTTATTGGGGTTAGGGAATGTTAATTACGGGACGTACAGTACAATAGGCTATGGGTTCTTACGATCTAGTACAACTTAAGGTTAACTTAGCTTAAATCGAAAATTGCAATATTTTATGACTACCGTAATATATCATTCGAAAGCCGACACGTTGGGTCGCCAAATTTGCTACACACCATAAAGCTTTCTATAGGCTATTCATTAACTTAGGCCTACAAAATTCCTTTGGCTACTAAGTTAGCCCACATTGAACTGAAAGTCATTTTTATTTCTTAATAAAGATAATTCCTAATTTGTGTTTTGTTTCTGTCTAATAAGGTAAGTCTTTGTCTTAATCTTATAATTATGAATTATTTTAAGAATAAATAGATTTGGTAAGTTACAATATAAAATTTATTAATGAAATACAAATATAAGATATAAGTTATTGGTTGAATTTAGTTACAGGGTAAGTTAACAATGGTAAATTTTCAAAATGGTGGGGGTTCCAAAGTGGATCAAAAGATTCTAGGCTTATATTGGGCTGGTTTCTTCTAAAGTACACTAATTAATATTTAAATAGGCTATGAGCTCTTAATCCAGGGAGGGGTGGTCGTGCCGGTTCGAATGATATATTAGGCTTCTTTAAAATGCAAATAATTTAATTTAGTTATTGTTCTGAAATAAGTTAAGCTAGGTCCATGATGCTATTGATATAGGCCTAATAATGTTAAATGTCCAAAGAAAGATTCCAAATGGTTTCACTGAATTTAATGAAATAAAATAGAATTTGAAGATTAAATTTTGAATAAAAGTTCAATTTGATATATGTATATATCTTGATGAGTTGAGTTAATTGGGCCTAGTAGGCTATACTGATTAAATGTCCAATGAAGATTAAATTTGTCCTTAGTTAAATAAGATGGATGATGGTTACCAAATTTGGAGTGTCTGTCTTCTTATAAATTGGTAGGCTACTCTTCGATGCACTTGTCCAATACTTTTGGATGATGAGAAATTTAAATTTAGGTTTTACTTTGGGATTATGAATTTTAGTTTAAATTAAACACAATTTCCAATAGAATGATGTTCACACTGTGAAGAGTTGGCAGGATCTGGGCAGAGGCAATGGTAGAAGCTCAGGAAGTCCATGTCCATTGTTGAAGTGATGTACAGCTGGTTAATTTACATGAATGACACTTGCCACAGTAATTTTGATTTTCTTTGGATAATTTTGAAAATTGATACTATATTTAAGATTTTATTACTATATTGCAATTTTCTTACAATTATATCTTATTCTAAATAAATGATTATTGTTGGTTTTTGATGAGTACTTAATAGGTATGGAGAGAATTTGCATAAATATTTTATTGTAACATGAAATAGGATGATGTTTCTGTGGGGTGATGGGATATTATATAACATTGAACAAAATTTGATAAAATAACACATTAACAAGGAGAAACATATTAAATAACTGATAATACATTATCAGGGGCATTAACAGACATTATGAGAGAAAATATACAAAATAATAGAGAAATTAATGTTAATGATGAATGAATGACATGTAATATTACAAGGAGGGTCTTTTGGCCCTAAACCAGAAATGATAAATTAGTCACAAATAGACAAACGCATGGCCAGGTAGCTGCTGAGAGACTGAGAAAATATACTTAAGGTATCTGCAATCCTAAAATGCTATGGGAAGAGAGGGAAACAGGTTCCCGACCTAGGAAGGGGTGAAGGAAGTAGAAAAGGCGAGCAGTGTGGAGTGTGGGAACTGGAAACAGTTTGTAGCAGTTAGAATAATGTATCTGCAATACTGAAATGCTATGAGAAAGGATGGAAACATGTCCACGACACAGGAAATGGTGAAAGAATTAGTTAAGGCTGGCAGTGCGGAGTGTGGGGAATGGATTCAAGTATCTGCAATACTAAGACTGCTTTCAGGGTAAACTCATGATTTTCCCCAGGTACTTTTTATTATTGTTTGTAATATTATAACTTGCTCGTGTTCTGCAAAAACTAAAAAACTATTCTATGTAATAAAAGAAGATTATTGGTTATTTTCCTAGTTTTTCATTGGGATCCAATTGTACATTCTTTATCCGAGGTGCCATCCCCCCCCCCCCCCCTAAGGTCAGGAGCACAAATCTCCCCCAAATAATACTGCCCCTTTACAAATCCTACCTAAATTAGCTACCTGCCCCTTTCCATACTAAAACAAAAATTTCAAGATTTTCTAAAATAAAAATTAAATACTGCTCAATAGATAGTTGGTAAAAATTGATTATTGGTACAATATAACATTCACAAATTTGGATTTTCCCAAAAAATTTGGATAATTTTGAATTGATAAAATGGCTATGCTGTAATAGAGAATTAAGGAGGGTCTTTTGGCCCTAAACCAGAAATGATAAATTAGTCACAAATAGACAAACGCATGGCCAGGTAGCTGCTGAGAGACTGAGAAAATATACTTTTTCAGTTTTAATTTTAAGACAAACTCACCTTTATTGTTTTAGAATATTTCATCATATAACCACGTATAAACAATCATTCGTATGACCAAACTTAGTGTTCGTACTAGGCGTATGAGTAAGTTTTTCCTCATTGTGTCTGGCACTACCAACTGAGCCGACTCACTTAAATTCGAGAAAGACCGAATAGTACCAAGGCAACTAAATAAACAGTGTTGCCTTGATAGTACTGTGTAAGTAATAAAAAATCGTGAAGTAGGAAAGTGATTATGAAAAATAAAGTGTACAACAATGGACCTTTATACACTTCATAAAGAATATACTTCAACAGAAAAAATTAACTTCATAACATACTCTAGAACACCATTGCTTGACTATATCTCGGAATTATTGGACTCGCTACGTATATATTTCATATTCACATAGCCTTAGCCTATTTTACTGCTAAAGCAAGCTTATGAAATTTTTTGCACAAAAATATTTTTTACTGTAAAGTATGCCTATATTGGTTAAAAAAACGCAGTGAAACAAACATTTTTTTGTTTGATTTATTTATTTAATATCAAAAATAAGGCTAGTTTCAAAGACTGTCCAGTCTAGTAAAAATATAAAAATATCAATCAAGACCCTTATTTGTTTGAGTACTCTATTTCTTATTTTAAAGCAAGACCTAATTAATAAGGGTTTCAGGATACAAACCTAAAAAGTTATGTTCAATTTTCCAGCACACTGGTAGTTTCACGAGATCATAAAAAAACATATGCAGTTTCAAAAAACTTACGGGCCTAAGTGTAACACACTGCAAATGTATTCTATTTGCCAACAGCCTTCTTTGTTCACATAGAAGATATTTAATTCATGTCTTGCCAGAGTCGTTCATATTCAGAGATAAAAGCAGCTACAATCTGACGCTGGGACGTGATTATCAGGTTGTCCCAGTTTCCACACAAGGCTTGCATTGTCCAGTTGAGAGACCCAGTCATCAGGAGTCTTTTGTCAATGATGACAAACTTGTGATGCATCAACGTCGTGCATTTACGTCTGAATCTGACTGGGATACCTAAAACACATCAATAACTTACTTGTACGAATTTCCTATATAGGGAATAAGCTATTACCGGAGGTCTCAAGGCCTGGGTCCGGGACCGATTTACTTTTTCAAGTTGAGGTCCCCAGAGGTAAACCTCAAATCATGAAATTAACCTTAACACTAATACCAAAACCCTGGCCTGTGAGGCCACGGGGGAAATTTCACTATCTAACGTTTGGCAAACACTGGTTCACTGTGGTGGGCGAGCAGCCCAATTTCAGATGGTACATTTTTTACCTTCCCCCGACCCTTAAAGTCCGGAAGCACTGCCACGTGTTTAGTTTGAGTGAGGCGCTTGACCTTGACGTATTGATTTTGAAAAACTTAATAGAACTAACAGACCGGGGGTTTTGGTAAACATCAGCCTGGGTAGGGTTTCATTATTAGTGTTAAAATAATAGAAACAAAATTTGCTCGACGCTAGCACCCAGTGTCACCGTACATGAACTAGACAAAATACAATCTTCAACATTTACAATGGGATGAGAAGTCTACTTGTGGTTGGTTAGTCTATGTTACTATTCAAGGTAACTAAACATTTTTTACGTCAAATTGAAGCTAAAATAACTAAGTTTTGTTTCCTGTGTAACAAGGGAGGAAACATTTACCTTGGCATGCGCAAAACAGGTGGGTGGTGGTAGTCTATCTATGTCTATAAAAGAGAAAGTATGTATGTATATACCCTATGGACTCCAAAACCGCTCAACAGATTGTAATGAAACTTTCAGGCATTATTCAAGGATGGTTTTTGTCAAGTTTGGAACAGATCCGTCAAAAGGGCTCCGCCACAGAGGGTTTTAAGGGGTCCAATGTCACCCTTTTGAAACCACAATGTTTACAAATAAATATAATTTAAGAGCAGATGTTTACATTCACCATCTGTTTTAAACTTTTGAATAATCACAACATTCTGTATTAGTCATGATTTGAAATAGTGCAACACTGTTACCACAGAATGCAGCACAGAAAAGAAAACTATTTTATTTTGCATAAGTCCAGTCCAAATATAATACACCCCAATCACAGCACACCTGTGCACTCAGCAACGTTTAAATTTAAATGCTCCGCAATATCCGCAACAGACAGCCGTATGTTGCGTGCTAACGTGTTGGTACGCCTAAAATCCAGGGCCGGATCTAGCATTTTGGCGCCCCTAGGCCCAAATAATTTTCCGCCCCCTAGTCTGGTCACAGTTAGGCCTACTTTCCTTCAAACCTTTATTAAAAACTATATCATGCCCATAGGCCTAAGTTAATTGCTTGAATACCACTCCTCGTCGGAATTTTATCATTGCAAGTTTTTTGAAGAATTGACTTGTTTAGCCTTAACAAAATGCCGTCTGAAACACCTTTAGCAATTTTATGCTTTAAGTAAAT